CTGGCTTATGATTGGTCAATAAAGCCTGTTCTTTTGTACCAGTCTTTTACCCATTAGGGCTCGGGTATTCTACAGTGGTGGCAGCGGATGCGTTCGAATAACGCAAATCGAACCCCCAGCCCTTTCTCTTCAGTGGTCAACACAGGCAAAGACCCTTAAATGCCAGCTGAATTTGTCATTGCGGTCATCCGATGTCCAATAAAGTGGATCCATAGACATTGCCCGGGATTAGGACTACTGCATCTGAAGAGGCATTGGCAACTCAGCGACGACGTCTTGGACAGTGAAAGCTAGCTGGACTGCATCTGCGAAGGACCTTTAATGGATGATGAGTCTTTTCTGCAAGTCTACAAGAGCAAAGTCCCTCGTCGACTATTTGCATGGTCCACTATGTTGCCAGATGTGGGGTGCGGGGATGTGTCGAACTGGATATTTTACCAACACTGGGTATCAACAACATTGCGGTGAACCGAGCCAGAAGTTGAGGACAGCTTCACTGCAGAGGGGGAGGCAGTGTGACGCCGGGTCAGGGCGCAGACATATTGGACCACCTGGCCGCAGGCAATCCTGTGTCTCTCTGTGTTCCAATGGCATGCGAGAATGATAAGCAGCCAACCAGAGAAAAACACGAATGAGGTGCAGGCGTGGCCAGCGCGGTGGACTCGGATGAGAGGCGCCCGACGTGTGGCTCTGGCTTGTGATGGTTCAATAAAGCCTGTTCTGTTGTACCGGTCTTTTTCCTATTAGGGCTCGGGTATCCGACAGTGTGGTGTTGCGTCAGATCAGGGCACAGACATGTTGGACCACCTGGCCACAACCAATCCTATGTCCCTCTTCGTTCCAATGGCGTGCAAGGAAGATAAGCAGCCAACCAGAGAAGGACACAACTGAGGAGCAGTATATAATGAACGGCGTGGCGAACTCGGATGGAAGGCGCTTGACGTGTGGCTCGGGCTTCTGATTGGTCAATAGAGCCTGTTATGTTGTTCGAGTCGTCTCCACACTTGGGCTCGGGCATTCTACATTGGTGACACCGGATGCGTTCGAATGACGCGAATCGAATCCTAGCCCTTACCTTAAAATGATCAGCAGAGGCAAAGACCCCTAACTGCCAGCTAAAGTTGCCATGGCGGTAATTCGATGTCCTAAACGCTGGACCCATAGACATTGCCCGGGATTGGGAGTGCTGTATCTGAAGAGGCATCAGCAACTTAGCAACGACGACATGTACAGTTAAAGCCACCTAGACTTAAAGCGGAGCAGGAACCTGTGATGGATAAAGCTTCATTCCTACAAGTCCACAAAAGCATCGTCCCTCCTCAACTATTCGCTTGGGCCACGATTCTGCCACATGCGTGGTGTCGAAGTGTCCAACTGGATATTTTATCAATCATCAACAGTGAGAGGAATTATGCCAGAACCTGAGGACTGCTTGCCTTCTGAAAGCAAATCAGTGTTGCTTCGGATAAGGGTGCAGACATATTGGACTCTTGGTGCTGTAAAAATAAATATGTTCATATTCAAACTTTATTGTTTTATGGAGAAATTAGGAACGCAATGTTTGATGTGTCAGCAATAAACTTTTGTTAAAATTAAATGGTACATTAGATATCTCACTAATTACATTCTATTTTTATGATTTGATTCTCAAACGTTTCAAATTTACAGATATCAGCGTATCATGGTCGAACAAATTCAATTGTTAATAGGACAATTGCAAATTCTCATAATTATTTTAAAATAATTAATAAATAACTGGGTTAATAAACCCAAAATTGAAATCATGCAGGAATTTTTAGCTGCTGTTAGCATGAAATGTGTCTGGCTTCTTGAAGTTTATATATAAGTCAGGCGGATTTGTAGGTCAGCTAAGATGCAGGCTTTTTTATCGAAAAAAATGAAAACACATGCTCAATAAACTTTTTAAGTTGATGGTTTTGAATACGCATTCAGTTTTATAACACGAATGAAATGTTCCTTTACATTTATCTTAATATATAAATATGAATGATCCCCGCGTATTTAAAGCAAGGATTCTGATAACCAAGATGTACTCGGTAACAATTAGCTGTCACCATGATGTTAGCAAGAGTGGGCTTCTCTTCTTACCATTACAGCTAATAATAGTTATTTATTCGAAATTTAATAAGACCAGGTGTCAATAACACCAACATAGGCAAAAGTGTATATTCGCATTTGATTCGAAAAACGTTAAAAGTAATTCATTACGGCAGATTTTATTAGAGATTATCCTAAGCAATAAATATTACAGCAATATGCAACGTAGACAGTGAATGTAAACAGCGAATACTGATTAACACACCCACAAATAATACTTGCCGTCTTTGCTCTAGCAGCTCGAAGATTTTGCGTGCAGTTCAAATGTATAAAACTCAGTCATTATAATGAGTAGGTATTTCGATATACCACCCCCTATAAAGGTATGTACTTTAGCATCGTTAGAGACCTTTTTATGGTTAGAAAGCTTGGTGTACAGAGAAATGTGTTGGAAAATGGAGATAAGTAATATGTGAAAGTACTTATTCACAAAACTTAAACAATTATATCCGACTTATGCATAGGTATACATCATAAAGTATTTGAATAAGACCCAGCGCTTATTTGCACTATATTTTGGACTCCTATTTGAATTTTTTGTAGTATTACAAATTTAGTCCTTGTTTAGAGAGACCAGTTTTAGGCTATTTGAAAAAGGTAAATATACGTTAATTTTTTAACTATGATGAATGCTTAATGCTTGGTACGATAAGCAGGCTTACAACAACATAGCCATAAGAACAATTATTTTGCTTCTAAAAAAAACATTAAAAGTCAAATTTTATGCAATTAGGATAATACAGCGACAGAGTTCTTGGTCTTTGTAAACTTAAAGAATTAAGACGGGGATATTGAATTTATATGTAAAAAAATACCAGAGTTTTGACCAGTCTGCACAGTTAAAATAGACACATTGCCGGCAGGCAAGCATGGCGATTATGGGGATGAAAATGGTGCAATGTACGATTGCGACAATGACATGTAAATTATTTTGATTAAATTTGCTCATTTTCCATTTGCCACTACTAAATGTTGATTAAACAGAGGCAAAAAAATTTGATAAAAAAGGGTAATGTTTGAAAGAGATCTTGTAAAAAAAACTGATTTCTGACTCAATGATTAATAATGGACAGTGGTATTTGAAATAGTGACAAGCAAAGCTAAGTGAACACTAGCTAAACAGATGAGTTTACTAGCAAAGAATATATTGCTGCAGACGTTTTGTTAAATGGATTGTGTTATAATTTACAAAATTCCATCATTTTTTTTGTTTATTGGTGTTAATAAATTAATAAATATGGCAATCTTCTATTTGCTGTCTCTTTGCGCCTGTTTTTATTATTATTTTTTTGTTTTATTTTAGCTTTTAAATTTAGTTTATATGTTTGGTTAAATATTTAGTTTCATTTAAATAAATCGCGATTGACGATTGAATGACTATGCTGCTTTTCGACCTTGTGGGTCTAGTGACCCATTCGTTCATTTTTTGTAAAATGAAGTCGGGTCCTAGGGAGTCGAAGCTCGGGGAGTTGATTAGCTCAATTAGTATGCAGTTCTTTTAACCTACGCTTTTTTAGCGCGGCGTGACCCATCAAAACGACAAATTAAGCCAGTAAATACGGAGAATATTCTCCTTGATGATATTGAAGATGAGAGCGACGATGAGTACGTATATGAAGGAAATGAAGGTTTCGCCAAATAAAAACTTTTTAAATATATATAAGATTTAAGTGATGAATCAGACAGTGGCTCCAGTGGTGATGGGGATTCAAATTCTTCCGATTCGGATTCAGGTGGGAGCTGTGCATCTCACCGATCAAGTAATGCAAGTGCAGTTCAGGATCCCGGCGATGATGACTCTGCTCAAAACGCAGGAGTAACTATAATTTCGGAGGCGTATCCTGCTGATTTATCCCAAAATGAGACACCGTTTCAGCCTGATAAGCCAAGACCAGCCAATACATTATATTCGGATCGAATTTGTATGCTTTGTCTGGGTGATCAAAGTAACCTCAATGATGAAATAATCGAATGCGATGCCTGCAAAATTGTAGTTCATGAAGGTACGTTTTACCCTTCACTCAACGCTGCAGACTGTCACAAAGTGTATGATGACGTTTTCTTATCAAGCAGTGCAAGTTCGTCTGACACGGATCCATGGTTTTGTGAGCCCTGTTTGGCTGGTGTTGAAAATCCGGTACGATTTTTGCCTACGCTTTATACCTTAGCACTGTGAGTTGTGCCCAAATTTAGGCGGCGTTTTCAAACGAACCGACAATAATCGATGGGTGCATCTGTTGTGTGCATTGTATACGCCTGGGGTCGCATTCAACTACTCTGAAAGTCTAAGCGAGGTAGTCACTCTAAAGCTAGCATTTTGTAGGTTACTCTTACTGAATTACCATCAAAAGACTGGTCATCTAAAGAATGTACTCTATGCGAAGAAAAGTTTTTTGCCTGGACGGGGGTCTGTATAAGTTGTGATGCGGGGCTTTGTAAAAACTTTTTCCATGTTACCTGGTAAGTTCGAAGTGTATTACACTTTTTTCAGCGCACAAAGAGAAGGATTACTTGCTGAACCAGCTTACGAGGAAGTAAGTATCAACCGTGGCAGGTCAACCAAGCGATTCGCCTTGCCAAAGCACTTTGGTTTTTTAGAATCCATCAGATCCCTATTTCGCACAGTGCCGTCAGCACACTGACAAGCAAGTTGCAAAGGCTCGCCGTCGCAATTACCTTACGGCAGTTAACCGGTGCCGACTTCTGCGTCAAGCCACAGAAATGGAAAAAAAGGCTTGTGCTTCTGTCGATGCCATGGAAGACTTTGGGGCCACAGGTGAAGTCAAGAGCACATTCGTCCTTCTTGACGAGAGGCTCAAACGAAAGTTAGAAACTTTTCGTACACTTTATCAAATTATGCTCGACAAACGCGAAGTACCTTACAGTAAGCAAATTGTTGACATTAATGGACATTCGCATCTGTAATTCTTTTTTTAAATTTAAGACGTGGTTTTGGTTGTTTTCTTTATATCTCTATTTGCAGGCTTTCAGAAAACCTAGTCTGTTTAAGATTCTGTTGCTGTTGTTTATTCTAGCAAGACCTACCAAGGCCCCATTATATCTTGAAAATTCGCCGGTTGCCATGCGACTTTTCATGGCAAAAGCTGTGTCTTTAGCTCTCCCAATTGAGCTCACTGGGAGTTCTGCTGTTACGGAGGCCTCTAAGTCCACAGCTCCAGGTTGTCCCGTCTTTTGTCCAGATTTTATCAGCTACGTGCTAGGTAAGTATTCTCTCTACCGCCCCTCCAGCCCACCACACACCGAAAAATCAGGTTCCGCTTCCACCTTTTTCAGATCGCGAAAAAAAATTGGAAGAATTGTCCAAGAAATTAACTAGCCTAGAGTCCATCCAGCGGGAGTTGCAGTTATCGGATGCAAACGTTTCTCATAACTATAATTGTGTAAGTCTTACCTCTACGCTCTCTGGTATTTAGCTCCTGAACGCCTTTCCAACATTTCTTCTTTGTATTAGCTTTCAACGCGCCTGGCTGAATTAAATTCAAATATATCTTCAAATCGAAATACTGCCAAACGCCTTCTCGGTTATTTATCAAGTATTCTTTCTGTAAGTTCTTGTTTGCCTTTTGGTGAGCAATTTTGCCTTTTGTTTTGCTTGATCTGGTGACGTTTTCCTATGCAAAATGGCATGCCATCATCGCTGCATGGTTGTACAAATGTTTGTCTACCTGACACATTATGAATACTAGTTGTGTAACGAATTTTAGGATTGTAAATCTTAGTCATGAGCAGCTTATGATTGAACTGTACATCTGGAATCAGCTTCATTTTGTATCAACTTTCAAACACTCCCGTTTTTATGCCACTAGTCATACTAATTTATTAGAGGAAAGAAAATCCAATCATTATTTTCTTGTTTCGAAACCCGCCATTCCATAAATACCCTTTACTGCTACCGCAGTGGATGCGATTAGAACTAATTATATCTGTTTATATTTATATCTGCTTAAGTGTGTGTGTGTGTGTGCGTGTGTTATTGGTATGCTAGAGCTTATTTATGGTAGAATGTGGTTGCATTTTTCGACACGTCTGATCACTGTAGGGCGTCAAAGCGTCGGAGTCGCTAGAGGCCCTGCTTTCATCTTCAGAAACCGCGGAAGGTCAAGGTGTTGTCAGGACTTCGGAATCTGCTCGAAGCGTTTCGGCCGACGACAGTCAAAGTCGGACAGTACATGGCCGCCAATCACAGTCTGCATCAACCCAGTGTTCTCAAAAACGTACCAGGAAACTACCTCTCAGTTCAGGCAAACGTTTCAGACGGTCACTCAACGGAACCGAAACAATTGTTATCGATGATGATCTTAGTCCCACCGATGTTACACCCACTACTACAAACTCCGCTGCCGTCAGCACCACTCCTCCTGACAACATTTTTCATCAGTAAGTCCCCGAAAGTTCATGACAGTCGCTATAGTTGGCCTTATCCATTTTTTTCTGTGCTCACTGAAGACCACACAATCTTGCCAAAGACTGTGCTCTCAACAAGCGTCATTATCGGCACCCTGTGTCAACTTCATTGTCATAACACTTATCACAAATATTCGCGCATACAAGTCACTCAATTCCTACTTGTTTTTATATCTTATCGTTCTTTGGGTGTGATCAATTTAATTACATTTTTTTTCCAGGTGTAACATCTGTAACGGTTATCGAGATCAGCATCTTTTGACGATTTGTGAGACTTGCAAAAAAGCCTTCCACATAGCCTGCCTCGACCCACCCCTCTCTCGTGTGCCCAAGCGCAGCAAACTCTTTGCATGGCAAGTTCTCCCCTAGCTGGATTCTTGAGTACTTGTTTGATCTCTTTCATTAGAAAACTTTGCAAGTGCCCACACGTTCATGTTTGTCTTGGCTGTCAAAACAGTATCAATTATTCTTTTAGCAAATTGTTATTTCTGTTCACACTTATTTCGACTTTGTTTTTTGCCAGTTGTTACTGTCAATTTATTGGTACTAGCAATTTCTGGTAATGTTTTGCGAATGTGGCCCTGAGTGAGTGGACCAGGTATTGATTTTGTGTGAAAATTTGCCTGCTGTTTAATACGGGCAGTTGTCTAAATCAGGCGGCCTGTGGGGCTAGTTTGTTTTCAGTTCAAGTCCGGTTATTTCCTTCTAATTGCAGGCAGTGCAGTATGTGCACTATAGCAGTTGTCAATCCCAATGACGTGGTAACTGTCGATGTGAATGCACCTCGTCAACTTCGCCGCTCAAGTGCTTTCATTCCGCCCCACGCTGTGGCGACGTCAGCAGCACCGACGTTGGTCGCACCTATGGTTCGACGACGCGTTCAAAAGTCCTCCGCACGCCGTCCGAGGAATAGGACTAGAAGGAGCCGGGCAGGTGCCCGTCGTCGGGCCAGCAGACCAATCCGTGTTCGAGCCGAGGCTTACCCTTGCCAGATGGACGATGACGTCATCCCAGCTGTAGCATACCCAGCTATTTCCATCAACCCCAAGGCCGACATCGATGTCAACAAAGTTGTCGCGGATACCGTGGATGTATTAGCTGTTTCACAGGAACTGAAACATGTTGACTATGAGGAAGAGGAGGACAGCGAAGAAAATACGGGTAATGACTCTGAGGACACTTGTAACAGCAGCGGTGTCGCGGAGTCTGAAACATCAGATAACAGGGAGAATGACGAAGAAAACAATGACAAGGAAGATGATGTGGTCTACGCAAACAAACGCGCTAGATCCAGTGTTAAGTCTACCGTACTCAAAAGAACGGTCAGTTGAGATCAAATTTGCTTTGGATTGATTTTCATCGACACATTTTGTGTTATTCAGTTTCCTGTTTTGGTGCATTCGTGTTCTGTTTTAGTGTAGGTCTAACCCTACTAAAATAAAATGAATGTTATCTTTAATTAACCATATCTTCATTCCTAGTCTATATGTAAAAACCTATATCATTACGCGGGTGGAATTTAAGCTTTACACTTTTGTTTGATTTAAAAACTTCTCAATAGGGTTGATACGGGCTGTAGAGCTATGTTAGGTATGCTACGCTTCTAGTTTAGCCATTTTGAAAAACAAGTTGCAACCTTAATCCAGCGTCACTCACACCCAAATCCGTGACGTTTCAGCGATCGACAACTGTTGACTCATCAACTGACTTGTGCGATAAAGCGAACTCGTCTGATGATGAATTAGCCAGTCTTCGAGGATCGAAAGGTAAACTATTTAGATTGTTCCAGGTTTCTCAAATGTCTTTTGCATCCACCTTACTTTAAGCTCAATTCATTTAATTGTGTCTTTGACAGTTGCTTCTACAGCTGTTTTAAAACAGTATGAATTTTCAAGTAGGTCTGTGTACTTATACAGTATCAAGGCACCACGCGGGGATTTGTAGTTCATCTATTAGAATTAGCACTATTTCGCCACAATTGCTTGACCAAGTTATTAGCCTTTACTGGATCCCATAAGATATAATTTTTGGTCGTTCTGTGAAGCTATCATCCAGATGTATCCCCTGTCTGTTAAAATTGCACATATTCTGTATGGATTCGTGTAAGTTTATTGTGATCCAGCTGACTTTCTAGACAAATTATACTCAAAGGTGAATCCGGTTCGACTTTGCCACACCATTTTGACGAACGCGTTGTCACAAATTCAAAATGGTGACTTTCACATATTACCAAAACATTGATCCACCTAGGTGTCTCAATGACACTAGTTTGTCTTGCCACGAATTCCCGTGGTGAG